AATAAAGACTAATGTTTACGATATATATTATCTGGCAGTTCGAGCACTTACCCCGTTTATCCGAACATATGGTTTCCTTGAATATACACTTCGGTTTATAGAGCAACCCCGCTAATCCGAAACCCCGCTAATCCGAAGAAAAATTGCTGCACGCCATCTTCGGTTTATCGGGGTTGACCTTGTATCATTATTGTCGTCTCAAAAAATGGCTGCTCGTCAAGAATTTTTAACATGGCTAGAAACCAAGCATATTCCCAGTAGGCAGAGAAGGAGCCTTGCTTCGTATGATTGGGATTTTTTAGTCACTACAGATATCGAAGGGATTGCAGCGGTCGTAACAGACCGGTTAATCGCTGGAGCTGTTCATGCAAAACTGCAAGAATTAAGAGGTAATGACTTTGTTACTTGGGCGTTGGGGACATAGAGTAGTGTGTAAGGTAGAGTAGACATGTAGTATGTAATTTTTCGTCATTTGCCTTCGTAATATTAACACGTATTCGTTTCCAGTTCTTAGCTTGGAAGAGGTGTTGTCGCGTATTCCGCCACCTGTCTATTATCCTCCAGATACTAGTACCTCGATGAGCTCAACGAATGTAGGTGGCGTTTGGCCTACAAGAATAACACGTTGGAAAGAATTTTTAAACAATGTAAATCTACACAACTTCGATGGGACCCGGAGATTTGAGGAACCAAGATTTGTTACAAGTATAAGAATAGTTGTTGAAACTAACGTATATACTGCTATTGAAACCAACATGTTTGGTATATTGAATAATGCCTTGGAGAAATATTGTTTTTCGAAGCAGAAAGACTCCGACTTCCCAAAAGATGATTCTAATATTGGTCCCTTCGTTCCAGACTACACTTGTCGTGTTATTAACAATGGGACTTATGGGGAACAAATCTTGGCATTTGAAATCAAGAGAGACGTCCTTCTACGGGATTTTCTGAGTCTCACCGATTCGGATTTAGAGAGCTTTGGAAGGCGGGAGATTTCTTCGGGCCATTTATATGTTATAATTGGGCAAATTTACAATTATATGTCATCATTACAACTCCAATATGGAGTTCTTTCAAGCTATGATAATCATTTGTTTCTATATCGACCGAAAAATAACAATACGGAGCTTCACATTTCTCATCCTCTTGCACGTGATTCAACCAGTCCGCCTGTACTTAAATCATATGCATATTTGGCCTGGATAGCAGAGCAAGATCCCACATCCCCCTCTCATAACATAAGTAATAGTAATAGGAGACAAACTTTAGCTTTACAGCAAAGTCAACAAAGTTCTGGAAATTCTAGAAGTGGTCAGATTCCCAGAAGTTTGAGTGATTCTCATCACAACTTGAGAAGTGTGTCTGGTGATCAGGGATCAAATGAAAATCAGGATCCAATGGAAGAGGTTTTTGATTGTTCAGAATTTAAGTTTGAGTGTTCATTAGGCTATGGGCAGACTGGAGGAACTTACCAATGTAAATTCTATGGGCAAACATTGGCTGTGAAGGCTTTAGATCTTTATAAGAATGGCCGATTATTTTATCAAATGCAAAAGGAAATCGAAATATACAAACGTCTTTCTAAAATTCAAGGAAAGTATATCCCTAAATTAGTATGTTATGGCTATTATGGGGGTGGAATGGGCTATGTTATGGGTATGACAATTGTTGGTACTATGTTGAGTTTCCATAAGATAGAGAAATGGCAAAGGAATCAGGCTCTCAGAGCATTAGAAATAATTCATTGTAACAACATTCTTCACAATGATATTCGAAAAGAAAATATCTTAGTTAATGGTGAAGGCAATATATTTTTTATTGACTTTGGGAAGTCAATTATAACTGATAAAAAGAAGTTGTTTCTTCAAGAGAAATCTGAATTAACTCGTTTATTGAATTGTTATATGTGATTAATATCAAATATTAGCTAGCTAATTTTAGTGATGCATGTATCAGAGTTTGTGGATGGCTTTTACATGGTTATGAATAAAGTAACAATGCTGTACAATTGTAAAATTTATATATAGGACTATCCATATATGATAAATGACAAATATAATGGCTCCACAGAATATAAAAAAGCAATGCGTTTTTTGGAATTAGGCTGCAATTGTGGTTGCTCAAAAATGATTCCGAGGGAAAGGTTTACCGAATTACGTGAAGCGTTTCAGCTCTCTCTAGATCTGAACAAGATATATTTTTAATGGCCCAGTTGGAAGCAATGAATGGCGGAGAAATAACTGCCAGCCGACGTCTTAAAAAGAAAACGCGTACTAATAAGCGAACTTTTTATT